GGGCTGAGGTAAAACGCAACCCCTGGAAAGCAGGGGCTGGGAGTCGGCGGTGTTCTTGAGGTCGGCCGGGCTTTACAACGACTCTGGTAATCGCCTCTTTTGTTACGAAAACAGCCTTGCTGTCCCGAACAGGGATCCCGTTCCCGCTGCGCAAAATAACGGTAAGACACGCAGTACAGAGAAAAGAAGGTCTTGTCCCAGAGTTCAGGATCGAGTTTATAAGCCCGGGACAACACAAAAATTGAGTTTTCCTAAAAAGACCGTTATCTTTGATGCCTTCTGAGTTTGCAGAAGACACAGGCTTTTGAGAAACTTTAAAAGCGACCTGGTCTAAAGGAAGGACATATTTATAGCTCATCGGGCAGCAGCTTGCAACCTCGCCCGCTTTGCCAGCCCCCTTGTAAAGTCACCTCCAGCCCCCCCCCCCGGCTGCCGCAGGTGATATAAATAAAGCCGAAGTAGGTGCTGCGAGGGCTCCGGGCAGCGCTGCCCTCCGGCAGCCCCAAGGGCGCAGCTCCGGCGGCGCGCCGGGCTCCAGCGCTCCGCTCCGCGGAAGGCATTTAGGCACAAAACTCGCATCCAAATCATCGAGTTTTGCACTTAAACCACCTGGAGGACCGAGGATAGAGTAGCTGAATAATATTGCCCCCAATCAGGGAAGTTATCTCGCTGTAATGGACGCGTTTGTCCTTTAAAGAGTTCAGACGTCTTACTTACATAGCACAAAGCGCACCTGAGACCTTTCGCAATCACGTTCCCCAAGTCCCATCAACTGTCTGATACTCTTTCTACTATCTTCCTCACTATTGCTAGTTGCCAAGATATTTCACATAAATAGAAGCTTTCTAATTTATAATCAGCCTCTTCCTTCTGATTCATTATGTTAATGAAGTGAGATATCACCAACATTGGATTGAATCGCTGAATGAATACAGCAAAAAAAAAAAAAGCTGATTATAGAGGGAAAAGCCAAGTGGTACCTGGAAACTTAACAAAAAGAAGCTGAGAAATAGTATAAATCAGCTGAAGTTGTTAAGAATTATTTATTATTATGAATGTTTCCAAGCAAGCAAACTAGCCACTGAATCTATAGCTTCCTTAGAAATCCCAGTACCGTTAAACGGTTTCCAGTTTGCTTGTTAACCCACCATTTCTCGACGATGCAGTGTACGCGCCTTTGAAACGATCAACTGTCGCCTTTTTGTCCTCCAGTTTAGACTTTCCCCGCGCTCAGCGCTATCTTATTTCAAACTGGAAAATGACAGAGAAATGCTCATTTCCCCCCCTCCTATCTCCTTTTTTTAAACAACAGCTTGCTTTGGGCTTTCCGAAGCCCCGAGTGCCTAACTTTGAGCAATTCTATCTTCTCAAATAACCAGTTTCCTCTATTCTAGGAAAAGTCTTTGAGAAGAGGCAAAAACACTTGTATATTCGCGGCCAACTTAAGAAGCAGCGTGCAGTTTAGATAGCCGTTTAAACAAAGCTGCAGGCATGTGGTTCACTTAAGCAAATTATCCTGCGGAATCCTTTATTGAGCAACAGGCAGAGTACTTTGAATGGAGCTATTGGGAACACATACAAACTAAATGGGCAAAGACATATAAGTCTGGAAACCAAAATTACGTTTTCCAACATCACTGGGGGAGAGGTACTAATTTTTTGCGTCTTTACGCTATGTATTGGCCAAGGAGACTAACTTACTTAAACGACAGCAAAATTCTTTTTTATTAATTTAAAATACATTTGTAAAATGATCTTAAGGCAGCTGTCTCTGCTTGAATCTGTTTCAAAAGTGTGATGTAAATACTGTCTCACACTGTTCTGTAGCCTATTAGGGCTTTCTGGTAGGTGATACGACTGAGAGTCAGGAGAAAGAACACCACACATTTATTTTTAAGATCACCATCACTACTGATAAAATTGATGGGAAGGAGTGATCATACTTACTATTTGCATGTATTAATGACAAAGCATGCAAAGTAACTAAAATGAAAATGATAAAGCTGGAAGACTACATACACAGCAGGTACAATTTGCAGCATTTTCAAGTGCTCTTTCAGCTAAGTTTAAAGGGAATAGCAAATTCCCAAATTAAATCACCCTATTTACTGCAAAGACAAAGAGCTTCACACAGCAGGAGGACTCACTAAAGAACTGTGTTTTTCCACCTGTTCCTTCTGCAAGGGCTAAGAATCTCTATAACTTACTGGTAAGGGAACACCTCATATAATCTCATATCAGAACTACTGCAGTGCAGAATTATTGTGAACAACGGGAAGAGTGTAAGTAGTCCATCTGAGATTCACTAAGGCTGGATTTTTCAGCAGTAAACTTCTGAATTTCTGATCTTCACTCAGCATATTAATATTTCAGATCAGTGTCAGATGAGAACTAACAGAAACAAACATACCTAAGCAAAGTTCTAGTATTTATTACTGCTGGACTCACTGCCCATACACTCACTCGGCTACAGGAGACACCAGTTTACATGTACTTCATACATGCAATATGACACTGAAGTCCACGAGTCAATGAATACAGGATCAAAGCTTTATTCAACTGCAACACATTAAATCCATGGATTATTGTTCAGAACAAACAGGATATTACAGTAATAAAGTTGTTACCTTGACAAATATTGTAAAACAGCTTACCTTTGGGGTGATATTTAAGGTCAAGTTGTACCTGAACATAACTTAAAATATCATGAAAATTACTATTACGGAGCAAATAATGTCTTCTTTCAGAAGTAGCATCTAAAACTACATTTTATTTCAAATTCTGTTTTCTTATTTTTCAGTACCCGCCACCTCAAACCGAGCTTTAGTCTGACATCTACATCCCTGAGCTGCATTGTGTGAATAAAAAAAAAAGACAGAGACGAAGAACTATAAGCTCAGCTTAAAATCTAGCTCCCGACTTTATGAAAAGATGATCCTGAATAAATACAATCAAGAGGATACTATAGTAAGTGTCAAATGTAATGAGTGTTCCAAACCCTTTTGTTATTTCATATGTATTCTCAAATGAAATTAATAGGCTTGAGAAAGATTATGTGGAGTAAGAATTCCTTGTCCTAGGGAAAACTAGCATGCCTTCTGCTACTACCCCCACAGCCAGAATAACTGAGAAAGTAAAAAGCTCAGGAACGTGACAGTGGAGGTGACAAGATGGGTGAACAGGCTGTGCTCCTAGGCTAGTACTGTGGTTACTCATCTGTGCATAAACTTACAAAAGGGAGATTTAGTATTTCTTCTTACAAAATACTCAAATATTAACTTACAAATAGACAAAAAACATTTGTTTCCCCTACTGCTCTTCTCAATTGCTTTTCCTCACCCACCAGAAAAGAGGCAATAGGCTCTTAGGACAATTGCAGCTTTTTTATACATGTATAGTAGTGCAAAAGAGCAAGCAGTTAGTCAAGAGTGCAGAGTAAAAAGGTCATGTTCTGAGTGAAAAAAACATTTATCCAAAAATGGGTAGGAATCTACATAAGCTTAAAAAAAAAAAAAGCCCTTGGATGACTTGGGGGATATTGACAAAGAATCAACATGCTTGAAATAACAGCCTTGATTCAGTGAAGCATTGCTATTCAGGGTCTCATTCAAACCCACTGGTAGGATCAGTTTTTATTTGTTTGTTTGTTTTAAATATACTCAAGTTTAAACAATACTTGTACCTGTATCTATGGATATGGATAATATGTTGTACCTGTATCTATGGACAAGCAAGACAAGCTAAGTCAGGATTAGTAAAAAGTGTGCACTTGATAGATCCAAGTAACAGAAGATACCCTATGATTATTTTTTCTGCCACTGCTTGACTCTGAGGTCTGTGACAAATCATGAGACACTTTTTCACCTTACTGGCCTGTTGTGTGCCTCCCTGCCCCTGTTGCTTTGCAGCTTCACAGTCATATGCAATTGCATTTATTTATATTAGACCACAGGCCAACCTGAAGGCCCTTGTCTTTCTGCAAACGATCACCTATACACACTCCCACTTTAAGTGTTTCTTTTTTTCCTTTTTCTGGACATGTTCCCGTATAATTTTCCATGCGCTATCTGCCCTGTTGCTTCTAAAGCTATGTCCCAGAAACCATGTAATTTCCTTCTTTGAAAGGAAGATAATCTGTTCTTCATCTCTCTGTCCCATTTAACAGAAAACTGTTGGAAACACAATATCGGAGTACCTAATACTATTTAATATAGCTATGCTCAACGCATAACTGCAAATAAGGGAAGTGTTCTTATCTTTTTGCAGTGAAAACTACAGCACTGCTTGTGGGTGCATTCTGCAAAATCCTCGATTCATCCAGCTGCCATCTTCTCAAAGTCCACACACTTTGCTTTCCTTCCAAGGGAAATCAAAAGACGAAGGAGATGGTGAGCATCTGTATTGTGTCCCAGTGTTTAGGCAGAGTCTAAAGAGATAAAGACCTAGATTATTCACATACATAAAGTACTTAGGGGCCCAGATTTGAGTTTAAGTGATTTCCCTTAGGATGCAAAGACCAGGATGAATCCTAGTCTTTGTCAGCAACTAACTGCTCACCCAACCTTCCTTTTTGGGTATTTAATTTCCTTAGTGCCTTCATGTGTAATAGCTTTTCCCTTCTTGTCTTTTCAATCAGTTCCAATTATTTGCTTTTTAATTTTGAGCTCTGTAATTCTAAAATCCACGCACACTCTCGTAAGTCAGACTGAGAACCACATTGCGATCTTACAGAAGAAAATATTACCAACTTGTCTTTCTGACAGAACAGTGAGTAGGTATAAAATTGCAGTGGTCTCTATGCCAGGTTTTTTTAAGCTCTCTGCTTGTAAGATGAAAGCCTAATTTGATATTTTTGTAGTTATATAACAGTTCTAATATTTTGTGACATTTTGTATTGTGACACTATAGATGAAATTGTCATCGGACTGACACCCTTTACTGTTTATTCCTTAATTACAACTGTTAACAACACTGCAGAGAAGCCTGCTAATCTGCCATCACATATTATGAAAACAACGTTATTGTTACAAACACCAACACCCACTCAACAGGATATTTCTAAGATGGCAGTTTCTGTTAAAACTTATCAGTTTAATGGACACTTCAATAGAAAAAAGTTTCAAATGAACTCTTAACATTCCCCTTGAAAACATAAAACAATTTGTAACTGCAGTTGAAGTTGTTTTTTTTTTTTTTTAATGTCAGTGAATCTTCAGCTAATTTTAATTCAGACAAAACCAAGTGCCTGATTTCAGAGAGAACAGTCTCTGCAATGCTGGTTCTTCAAGACTACCTGGACTTCCTATAATTTCCAGCTAGAAGTTAGTTCCCTAGTTCTCTTTGGAACATGAACTCCCCACAACAGTCAGTCAATGAATAATTAAACCATGTTTTGCAATGCACAATTCTCAAGTTGCTCTTTTAAACAGAACAGTATGGAGGGGTTAGAGCCAAAGCAATCAGGACATTTATGAGAAGTGTTGCTAAAAAGTACCAGAGTTTCAATACAAGTAGTTAAAACATCCCCAATACAAAAAATAATTTATATCATCATGTAACACAGAGGTGCACAGACTAATTCACTAACAGTCTGGCAAAAAATCAGTAATAATTTAAGTTTTCACATCCTCAAAGTGCTGGCAGGGGACAACATTTTTTCTTGTACTTCCAGGTTTAGGGGGTGGAAGAATGATGTCACACATGCCATTAAATCATTGCAAGCTTTCATCAATCAAATTGTAGCACTCAAGTCCAGGCTCTTAATTAAAAAAAAAAGTTTTCTAGGCTTAACTTGCTTTATAAGGGTGAAATTTCTTAAAGACAAGTCATACACACCTGGAAAGATTTTCCACTGAACTGGTACTTTCAAAAGCTTGCAAGCACTACAGTACTGGAAGGTAGCTCCCTTCCACAAGGAGTTAAGCCCACTGTAAAACCAAAACTCACTGATACTACACCTCTGCAGGAGGAAGCTGAGAAGCTGTTCAGTGTCTGAGAAATAAAGCATCTCCTCCGCTTCTATATGTTTGTTTGTTGGACAGTCACTGTGGGCTAGCTTTCTGCTTGGCTCTTTCAAAACTTTCATGTCTAAGTAAAAGAGCTCACTTATCAGTTACATCATCATAAAGAAAACAGCACTAAGAGCAGCCTAAAAGTAGCAAAAATAAATCAGAGACTTGTTTACTTTTTCTTTTCTTTTCCAGCCCTCTAGACAGGAAATACAAAGCAGCCAGCACAGTGAGGAAGCAGAGGTGGGAAAAGGCAGCAGTGGTTACTGAAGCAAAGGGTAGAAGCAATGCAAGTGACAACGACAAAAATCAGGGAAAGCAAGAAGTGTAAATTCAAGGTGTTTCTTCTATAGCTATGATTAAGGTTTGTACATGGGTTTGCAGTTCTAAACCAAAGCTATTCTGTCTGATGTAAACTGCTTGCCTTTCCTGTTAAGGATAAATTCCTCCCTTTTCCCTCATCCACAAAGACATTCACAGAACAGACAACAATGAAGAAAGATAATGCATGAATCTGTCTTTACTTATCACACCAACACGTAAAAGCAGAGGATTACAAAACACAAACTCTTCTCATACTGCAGAAGTAATTGTCCTAGTGGGTTTCCATACACCAGAGGTTCTCACTTTTGATCCTAAAAGCCCTTTTGAGTGGGATTGCTCCTCTCATCATCAGGAACGATGGTCTAAGCTCTCAAGTAAAAATACTACTGCTTAAACTAAATAATTTTACACAACAAGACAGTGAAAGGAAACTATCTACTATAGTTCATTTTCATTTAAATGATTTACATTACAATTTAATAACATGTTTAAACAATATCATGCTGATCAGGCAATGGAATACTTAAGTCAGAAGTTAGGAAACAAAACCAAAGTGTTTATTTTTGTGAATCTTCTTCTGGGTAGCTTATGTTCCATTTTGCAGATTTCATTTTCTTAAAACCAATAGGAGTTTCTGCTCTTCCTAAAAGGAACTCTTCCCACTTGGGAAGAGATTCTTCTACTGACGCCCAGTAGAGAGTCTGAGAAAGATATCACCAAAAAAAAAAAAAATCAATTTCAACGTAATTTCAAAATCCTCATCAGCCTGTTACAGAAACAATATCGACATGCAATGTGTTATTAATCTTGCCTTATGAGTGAAGCAATTCAGAAAAGAGCAAAGTACTTGCATATGAAATTTCACATCTCTCATACATCACAAAATAGCAGTCTGGAAGGATCTCATTCTGTACTACGAATTGTGAAGTGACTGAACGTGCCCTCTTGTGGTAAGCAACAGATTAGATGATGTCTTATAACAAAATAGTTTTTGTGATGATAAACTTTTCTAAAACCAGCTTTTATATTAAAAAAACCTTTTTATTGGAATTTAAGTTTGAAATGAAAAGAAATTTTGCTTAATGTTTACAAAAAGCATTCTGTAAATTTTTTGTCCTAGAAAAGTTTGCAGTAATCGTCAAAAAATTTTTTTTTAAACACTCACTCACAAAATAATTGGCTTTAATATTTGGGTCAAAAAAGCTACCTATATCTTTACTTCACAGTCTAAGAAACACACAAACACACTCTGTACTATCTCATCCTTTTTCTGTACTATCTCATCCTTTTTCTGTACTATCTCATCCTTTTTCTCTATTGCTCTGTATCTTTAAGTAATAAATTTAACCTCTGTGTTATCAGTAGAATGGATATACCATTCTTCATTTTTACGTTAGTATTTTGAGGATAACTTTGTTGCTTGTAGGATTTTGAAGAAGAAATACTAAGTGCCATGTACTGTTTTTTTCCACAAAATATTGTGATCAAGAGCTGGATTAAGCCAACAGTTAAATCCATCCAGCAATCTGAGTATTTTTAGATATTGAAAAAAATATTCATTCAGAAAAAAAGTATTTTTGTAGCAGGAAACTTCTATAGTACATATGTATTAAGCTTTTTTTCCTATACTGGTTTAAGCATATAACGCAGAAGAAACATCTCCCCAGAGAGCATTAGATTCATGGCTATCCATTTTGATCCTCACATGTAACTCAGATATATCTATGGCTCTTACAGTTTTACAAAAATATTTTCTTCAACAGATTTACTCAAAGAATCTTTTTTGACAAGCATATGTGCTGTCATACAAAACTACTCTGACTTAGCAAGCTGGGGATCCATTATAGCCTTAACTTTCAAACTATATTAATACAGATACATATATGGTTGAGTGAAATATGCTCAGAAGTGTTTTGGAACAAAGTATGCACAAGAATTTTGTACCATGAAAGAACATTTTCCTTTTCCACTATATACAGTACTCTGCCTTAAAAGTAGTAAAAAAAGTCTGAAATAGGATCTTCAAAGAGTAACTCCATTCTCTCTAAAACTCCAGCACTGCTGCAGGGTGTAACAACTCTATCCATGACCAATTGCTCTGAATTCTTCAATTTGTAGGGACTTCAGCCTACACCCAATAAGCAGCTTAGGCACCTAACAAAGGACAGAGAACATCGAAATTCCTAAGTCAAAAACTGAGCCAAAAAACTCTCGAGGTGTCTTCAAAGTCCTCTAGGAGCCTAAAATTCTACTTCTGAACACAGTGAAAATAGATTCAATCTTAGTAGCTTGGCATCTCTCTCAGCATCATCCAAGATGTATCGGTATCTAGAAAAAATGTACTCTTTTGCCTAAAAATCTTTAAAAACCCACTGAATTGGCATTCTCAGCGTGCATTCTGTCACACTGATAGGAGTAGGCCACTTACAAAACGTAATCATGGCCAAAACCTTTTAACAGTAACCAGAACAAGAAGCGACAACACTCATTGAAGTAACAGCCTAAGTATCAGGACACTGGCTCAGCAGGTGTGAAACTAATGTGCAATACACCTCTCCACAGCTTCATAAGGCTAAAATCCATACCTTTTTCCTCCTCTGATAGTATCCTAACACCCAGACTAGTGCGGGACACTGCTGTGCCTGTGGAAACTAGGCCAAAGTACAAAGAGCCAAAAATCGACTGGTCCAAGAAACACAAGCAGGAACATGACTTTGTGGCCTTGTGGTTCAGATGCTCACTTTCCATGAGGAAGAGCTGTGGCCTGATTCCTGTTCCCAGGACTGTTTCTGCATTCATCATTCATCTCTCTCCAAATATCTTTGAAAAACAGTCCTGAGATTAGGGAACTGAACTTGGTATGTTGCATCAGGACAATACTTACTTCTCAGCCTAACTTGTTGTTCAAAATTTATATCTTTAAATAACGTTTTAGGGACCACAGGTTGAGAAGTAAATCAACTGTTACTGCTATAGCAATACTTTTCCCAAGTTTCCATACAACCTGATAAAAAGAACTCTGAGAAGTGAGAACTTCTTCATACTGATAAACTGTTGACTCTCAAATGTAAAGATGACAATCTATGGCAAACTCAGAACAGGGTGGCCATATAAAACAAACTAAATAGCTCTGAAATAACTATCACAGTAATCTTTAAGATATTTACAATATTTCTTTTTTAAATCTGATTCTATTTTTAAATAGAAATTCGTATAGATTTGAAAGCTGCTAAATATTTCCACCTGAGCGCTCCAGAATCTAGGGACCTTGCCCCAGAATTTAGGTTCAGCTTGTCGTACACAGTACGCAGGCCTTTGGCTATACCAGTCACTGGATTTTAAAATCAATTATTTTCACTTTAAGAACATGCTTCGGGGGAAAAAAGCAAAATATTTGGTAAACAGCTAATGAAAAGATAGAGTTCTGGGACTTACTTCTAACTTAACAGTATCAGGATGTGGCAGTAAATACACTCTTTCTTGCAGCTTTTTTTCTGCTGCTTCTATATCCTAAAACACATAATATAAAAACAAACAAAGGCAATATTAAAAGGAAAATACACACTCACATAAAGGCATTTAAATGAACTCAGTAAACCTAAAAAGCATTCAAATATTAACACTGGAAGTTTCTATCTTTCTCCTTAGTCATCCTGAAATCCATCTTGTACCAATAAGACTAATATCCTACTGCTTCTAGGTATGTTTTTTGTATATTTTTCATGTAAGAATACATTTCATTACCACCTAATACTGTTGCTGTTATACACCACTATTCTCTCTGGACCCTAGGATAAATTAGAGGCAGATTCTGTTCTCTATGATTTATGAAAGTACAGGGGGAAAACACAGAATGATTTTCTCTGTGCTGCATGTAAACTGAAGTAGGTATTCTAGCTACTGTAACTGTAAAGTAACTAGGCAAATTATGTGCAAGATCTTTACTCCTCAAGACAAAGATGACTTGCTAATATGCATGCATAACATGTGCACAAAAATGTAGAGCTGCAGCAAGCTGTTCACCAGACAAACTTGGATGACAATGCACCTCACATAGCTTTCTTATAAAAATCAGTATTTGGGTTTCTGCTTGTCCGGTAGATGTGTGCTGGAGTCACAGAGGCCTAAATTCATTTCTCCAAACAAAAAAACAAACCAAAACATCCCCCCAACTCAGCCCCCCTCCCCCTTTAAAGTTCTGACCCATTCTTGTGGGCTTAGTTCCATACCCAAACATTGAAGAGATTGAGTGGTGGGCAGATGAAGAGAGACAGAAAGGGACGTGGGAGTGGGGTGTGAAGAAGCCAAAGCTGAACAGAGTGGAGGGGGAAAGAAAGTATAGCAGATGGCAGAGTTGGGAGCAGAGAGCGGGTGTGAAGAGTACAACAGAAAAACTAAATGAGAGAGGAAATTCCCCAAAGGGACTTCCCAAATATTCACCACCACTGCCACTGAAAAGAAGAGTGAGATTCTGTAGGAGCACATCCACAAGAGAGACCAAACATGATTACTCGTATTGAATAATAGCCAATCTGAATACATCAATAAGTAAACAGTGCTCAACTCAAGTTCAGTTCAAAAAACATGGCTCGAAATCAGTAGAGTATGATTAATAGAAGCAGAACCCAGCCTTACTGTTAGCTGGAGATTCAGCTTGGTAAAATAGATACAGTTGGTTCACACAAACTACCACGTTCATTTTAACTATTTCATTATTTACTTTTACAGCATGACTATTCTCTTCTACATAATTACAAACTTCATCTAAGCAAACATGTTTTCCCCTTTTCTACAGCAAAGGGCACATTCTTGTAGGAAGCTAAAGGATGTCTGAGAAAGAGCAGACTAAGTCTCAGATGTATCCAAATCCCAGGAAGCAGCAAGTGCTTGCCTCTTCTCAGGTGAGAAAAAAGTGACGCGATAAGCATGGAGGGGAGGGGGGGGAAATGGGACCAAAAATGGAAGCTGTTTGAAGTCACAATGTCAAAATAACAGAGGACACAACGCAGGCTTGACTATCCTAAGCAACAAAGTTTTCTGCCTATGTCCTTAGAACAGAAACACCATAAATCGCAACAAATGAAGCTCATTATCGGTATGGTTCAGACCAAATTTGGAGAAGTTGTCACCATACTGAAAAGGAAGGCTCAATCATTAATGTTCATTTCATATTCTTTCATAGGACATCCCTCCTTCCTGATTCCTGTAGGAATTTTCACAGTATATACTCACTTAAGTCACTGGAATGTTTACGGTGATAGGAAATGTCTTTCGGGCAAGAAAGGAGACAGCAGTTGTGCATATATGTTTAGCAGAGAAGGTCACTTTGGCATAGCCTAGATATTGGATGTGTCTTTTTGTTGCTCACTCTAGTTTTTAATGTTGTGCAGTCTATTGTCATTCAGAATACTAATTTAATGACAGACAGTGAAAGAAATTTTAGCTGGAAGGTGCAGTATGCTTTAGAAAATAACTGAAACTACTGAAAGACTAGATGGCACCTCTTGCATGTCTACTCAAATGCTTAACTTTAGGAAAAAGAAATCCTTGTCATCGATATTAAAATACATGTCAGCAGTGTAAACTTCTGTAGAAAAACCAGTAAAGCTAAGATGTCACAGTACTGAAAAATGAGAGTATCTTATAACACTCTCACTAAAACTACAAGGACTAGAAGAAAAACAATTCAGGACCCTTCCCCAGGGGTAAAATGGAATGCATGACACATGCATCACTTTTAGGGGACCAAATTCAGCTGTCACTTATATTGATATCAGCCTGGCAGAATCCCTTTTAAGTAATTTCAGAATTACATCCCTATAAAGGAGAACAAATTTGGTCTAAATTACCTAGCAAGTACTAACTATTACATAGAACATTCCTTAAATTCTATGTCTGTTATAAGCTGTTGCATAATAATACACAAGAAATATTATTAACTCACTAAATTAGAACGTAAATACCAGACTAATCTCTGGTTTTACAGCTAGAACACTATATAACTGTCAAATAATATATTCTCATTAAAACAGCTTTCTCTAATCAGCAATATCCCTCTAAAGACATCAGGGAAAAATACTCTTGATAATTTTATGAAAATGCTGAGTAAGAGCTTATAATGCTATAATTTCAGTTTAAAAAAGTGTTTGTTTCCTTGCTTCCTACTGATTTGAAAATGAAATAATTTTGAAATGCTTTGCTCTGCATAAATACCAACTAGCACAGAGAAAGAAAAATGTCTTTTTCCTATGATCACATACTAAAACCAACTGATTTTACTTAAATGCTGAAGAACAGAAATGCAAATAAAAAAATAACACTTCATCATGTCCATGTATTTTTGAGTAGGCCAAATCAACAACTCCCCACATGGTAACTGTGAAATGTACAGTGCCTGGTATCAGTAACAATATTCTGAAGCTGGCACATTAATCAGTCTTGTTTTCGAGATTCTCATATATTATTCTGCATAGATTTTTTTCCTGTTTTATTCTGTTACCAGAAAGCATCTGCAGGAGTGCATGCCTGTTAAAACTAGTATAAAATTAATAGATTTAAACTGATTTATGCTGCTTTATCCTGCAACAGAATTTGTTTTGATACATATGTTTTTGGTTTTTTTCCTACAAACACCAACATTTTTGACACTTGAAAGGAACAATTTTGAGGATGTGACAGTAGATGGCAAATATCTGTGTAACTGCAAAAATATTTACACTCTTTGTATATGTCTGAGCTATTGTTAACATTTCCAATACAAGAAGCTTTCAGCATGCAGAAATGTATCCTGCATTTATTATGTTTGCCTGTGTTAACTTAGAACACATTTATAAGATATAAATTATTTATAAAATACATATTTATAAATATAAATTTAATATAATTATGAAAAAGGAATATGGAAATATGGGAGTCATAATACATGAAATTACTCAATGCACAAACTATGAAAAAAAGTAATAACCCCACCCCCTCCACTTCTCCCCAACCTCCCAGTAAAGCAGATACACTTGTATACACCCTCTGCAGAGGGTTTTGATTTCCCCTGCTCCACATCAGTTTATAGGAGTTCAAGTTGGAAAATCTTCTTTGTCACATAATGATTGAGAAGGCATCTCTGAATAACTATTCTGTCCTGCCTGCTGTTCCCTAAACATAGCTTCCATTTAAGTACAGAGAGGGCATGCATCAAAATTATATGCACCCAAAAGGTGAACGCTTTAAATTTTGACCAAGCTTGACATAGAGAGACAAAAATTCTTCATGATACATCTTTTAACTTTCTAGAGTAAAAATTATGGTTTCAAGAGCTGTATGACACGCAACATAGGACCTTAACAAGTAAGAAAGCGCTTTTGAAAGGTGCTGTTTTCTGCTGTTTCCTGAACTGACCACCATTTTTCAGACATTTGTTCACTTTAGTGGTCAAGTGCAATCACTTCAAATTCAGATGCCTAAGCTAGGGGTTCCAAAAGAGGTTTTACTGTTCCAGCCCCTGCAATCTAACCTAGATCTTTCCCATTGCAAGTTCTCAAACTTCTGCTGAATTTACCCAGGAAACACAAATTCTACCTGAACATGACAACAGCCAGCTAGAACCGCTATTATCATTACTGTATCATTGTTAGGAAGAGCAAGAAACACCAAACACCGCTTTTACAGACTTGCGAGTAAGATCCTTGAAGTCATGCTACACCTCTTTAAAGAAAAATATCAAACTGAGAACTTCTCCCACAATTTCATATGACCACAGTCAGAGATTAATTCCTACCTTGGATTAAAAGCATTATAGGTTGGTCAGCCCCTATTCCCAAACATATCCTCTTATCTTGAATCAAAGTGAAAAGGTGCTTTGAATCTTATTAGACTCAAGTTCTCTTAAGCAGACATGTAGAGCTGTAACACATGCTATTACATGTACTTTAGGAAAAGAAAAAAAAGAAAAAAAAAAAGATAGTAGCAGCTGCCACCATGAGGCTCATATAAGAAGGGCATGTAAAAAAGGTAGAGAAGCCATCAGATAATATAGACTTGTGATTTAATATTTTTGGTCAAATTCCAGAAGCAGGAACTGGATATAGCAGAACTCAAACAGTAACTATAGAGCAAACACTTTTTAAACAAGTTCTCTAAGCTACATAACCACGACATTTCAGTGAGGTTCCTGGTAGTTGCAGAAACTTACATTTAGAAGTGCTGCATTCCTTTTATGAGCTGCATCAGCTGCTTGAGTTTGCCATGTCTTTTTAGTCTTTTTGTCTCCTAGATAAGTCTCCATCTGCTGTAGCAGCACTGATCTCTGAGACAGTCTACAAAGGAAAACATTTTGCTAAGTGGGTAGAACATTTTGCTCAGGAGCTAGAAAATAACCTTTTTACCTTACCCAGTTCTCTCAAAATTATGGGGCTAATTAAGCCTGCTGTAGGGTGGGTGTGCTGGGGGAGGGAAAAGGTACAGGCAGACACCACCTGCTGTGCTCCTATGAAGCTATAATGTTACAGCCAACAGTCCTCATATGCTAAGGTGCTTAGAAGCACTGAATCTCCCAGAACAGGAAAGATAGGGTGGGTTGGGGTGACTTGATCAGTGCTACTCTTGCTCACTGGCAAGTACTAGCTGTTACAAGAAAAGCAGATTTTTCTGAATCATTATTGTATTTGCTTCACAATCTGAGTTTACAGGGCAACACAGAAGCAATTCTATAATTGAGGTTTAGAGTGACAGAATCCAATTATTTTCCCCAAACAGGAAATTAGCAGTGATATGAGGTTAACAGTAAAGACCTTAAACAGGTACCACCCCATTGGAAGTCAAAAAGCCCATCAACCTAAACGCCCCTAAAGGCAACTTAGGAAGCTAATCCCAACAGTTCACGAAGAAAGAGTGCCACCTCCTGGAACACCAACCCCTTGCTGAAACACCATCATCTTCTATAAAGGTCTCTGATTTCACTGTTCTCAGGACCATCAGGCACATCTTGTGAGGTATCACAAGACCCACCACACAAACTGCTGTGAGGCAGGCCACAGCACTGAAACAACTACTTACATCTCTTCGTGTCTTCTAGCAAGGCGAACCTCTTGAGCCAAATAGGATGTCATTTTCAGTTGTTTGCCAGTTTTGCCACTCTATAAAAGGAAAACTAAGTGAAATATTCCAAAGATATTCATGAACATCTAGTCTTTGGTATTAAACAATTCCATATGTTAAGAAGTTGCATGCCCGATATTTATATAATTTATTAGCTATCCCCTTAAAAACTTGCTTGCAAATTTTAAAATTTGCCACCAGATATTGGTGAATTATGCTTTAAACACATACACACTACTAACACTCACAATATGCTTTAGGAAAATTTTGCTGAATTTTAATAATTTGAAGGAACTAAAATCTGATTTTCAAGTTTCAGATTTAATGCAATTTCAGGTCTCAGTTGCTTGTAACTGCAAATGCAAATTATGCACTTGCATAATTTGTGTAATACTGTTTACATTAGTGATTTCTGGCTTTTGTCATGCAACTCAGAATACCAAGTTATACTTCTTGTAACTATCACTTATAGCTACTTCACACAGATACATTGCTCCACTCATAGGAATCTTTGTTTGCATACACATTTGATTATATTAAATAACTTATTAAGCCATTTTCATTCTTCTGAGCTCTTGAAAAACTAAGTGAAAACTTCTGAAGCTCAGTTGTTCAGTACTGTAACAATGAAGGAATATACAGTTAATTTTACATTTTACTGTTCTTTTAAAATGAAATATGAAGCAAATCAGCTGCCCACTCTGCATGCATATCCAGATCCCACAACACTTTTCAAGAGGCTTGAAAATGCTTTACAGTCAATTAACTTTCTTGACCTCAGAGGTGAACGCAGTATTGTCACTTAAGTGAAATCAAGCTTAACAAAAAAAAAAAAAAAACCTATCACATCTTCATGATGCAGAAAGGCAGGAGAAATAAAGCATCTCAACTGGCTAAAACATTAGTAAAGGCTTCCAGCAAGAGCTTCACACCTAACTTTGAGCAAGCTATTCATATGTGCAGTGTAGCTAAGCATACCTGGTTAACCATGGATTTATTTTCCACCACACTGAAAAACATTTCTCTCCAACCAGACTACGTCTAATGCCTCCTCTCTGCTTAAGGAGACATCCCTTCTATGCTTTTTCCTTCAGGTGGGCAAGGGCCACGCTCGCCCGAAGGGCGGCCGGCCTCAGGCTGCTTGCGAGGCCAGGCGAGACCTCCGCTCACCAAACCCGGGCGATGCCTTCCGCAGACACCGGCAAGGGGAGGAACTACACTCTTCCCTTTGGGGGAGCCTCGCTCAAAAGCGGCGGCGGTAAGGAACCACCGCGCGGGATGACCCCCATCCCCTCACAACAACGCAGGGCGAGCTCTTCCCCGCGGCCGGGGCCCTGCCCACGGGCC